ATATAAACTATCTATCTATAGAATTTATCAAAATCAAATAGTTACCAGCTTATTATTTTTTTTAAAATACTGTTCTTTTCAAAACAGTCGTGATAAGATTCAATTTTTAATGAATGTTAGATTAGCTATTATGTACATATATGTGTACGTATGTCAAATTTAACCAAGATAGTCAACTCGGTCACAGTAGATGAATATAAGAAAGAATCTCAAAGCATAAGTAAGTACACTTCAACTGATTATTGATAAGACTCATGTAATCTATTCGTAAGTCAAGCAAAAAAACATTTCTTTTAAATCATTTCATCATCAAGTCTCTATGTACATTAATGTATATAGATATTTAACTTAAGTATAAGATTTATGTTAAACAAATGATGACAAACCAATTTAATAATGAATTTTTCTAAACATAAATATAATCAGTTAGTAACCTAACGAATTATTTTCTGATTAGCTTTAGTCAACAAAGTTTTTTTTTTTAATAAGACGAGATTGCTAACGCGATTCTAAACTCTCCTTTTTTTACCCAGGTTTGGAACCAGCAGTAACATTAGAAAGGCTATAGGCAGAGCTAAGTAAATAGATAGAAGATTAAAATTATTATTCATGATATGAATACAAGTTAAAGGTAGATAATTAAGTTATTAAGACTGATTACGAAAAACATTGGTTAACCTTAAATAGGATTGAAAGAATATTTTGAAAAAAACGTATGAAAAAACTAGGTAGAAGGCCAGAGTAAATGACAATGTTGTACAAATATTTTCTTTACACAAAGATTAGGTTTACTGTTTTCTGTTCTATGGCTTCCGCTGTAAATAAGAGGCGGATGCTGGAAGCGTAGGGCACATGAGACAGAACTCCATAAATAACCTTGAAACTAACATACTGTCGATGTAGTAACACATTTTTAATAAGAAAATAACAGCTAACGTCAAATAATTTCACAAATCGAGTTGATGAATAGTTTACAAACTACTGACTGACACCATATGGAGATAATCACTGGAAATCAGTGCGTTCACGTACAACTTTAAGCGTGCAAATCCACAATCTTCACCTTTCACTCTGAGAATAATATGCCTAAACAAATCAGTCAGGATTCAATAATAAACATTTTGAAATTATAGACAGTTCACATTGGTAATAAGACAAGTGATTATTCAAAATTCTCAATGATAACCTCTTGACGTAGATAAACCTCCATGCCAGTGACAATTTTTCACTGAACGCTTTGTGAAATAGCGTCTCAAAGTTATTTACTAACGATTAGTTGATTACTGTCTGTGTAAAACATGTATACGCAAGGATAATATTGAAGACTGAATTTTTCTCACTATGATTGTCAGTGTGTCGTTAACTTCAAACATTACACTTCAGTACTGCAAAACCCAACTATTCACTCATTGACAACTCCCATTTATCTACAAACTTTGTTCATTCGAATATTCTGTGTGTATGTTTGTGTTTATTTACTTTAATGTCTGAAATCTTCAATAGACTACATGTTTCTTTCTATTTCATAATTTCTCCAGAAAATAAACCGATCTTCACATCATTTTTAACAGGAATCCAATTGTAAATGATACTTTGCTTTTGTTCATAGTAATATCACTCGATTATTACTATTATCATTATTTACTGTAGTTTTCAAATAACCATGTTGATTGTGGTCATCTTATTTTCTTTGGTATTCTTAAACAAAAACAAATTACCATAACACTAGTTAGTAGAATGTAAAATCAGATATTGACTCTTTTCTCTCTCAAATATGTTAGATTTATTTACTTCATAGACTTTTTTCTCTTATCTAATTTTAAGTTAGTCAATGGTTGGTTTTGTAAGTAAACTTCAAGTATACATCTACAAAAGATATTTTTATTCAACATTGTTGAAGCTTTGTATCTGTCAATAATAAATACGTCATTTGATGAATACTCTGTAAACATTTCATCATTACTCTCTATTGATGTGATAAAAGTATCGAGAAATAGTAGTCATAAACAAAGAGTAACCGTTTTTTTTGTTAATTTTAATGGAAAAAAAAGAAATTGTCGTTTATGAATAAGCTTATATGCAGAGGATTTTCTATAGATGAGTTCCAATATAAACATCAGCAATGGAGTACAGGTACATTTAACTGACGAGGTCTAAATAGGATAAAATGCATATCCTATCTTTCACTGCTAGTTACAATTCAAAACTTGTAAAATAAAAAGCGCTTGGCGCGAGACTGATAGGTCCTGGGTTCGAATCTCGCTGGGTTCGGGATCATGGATGCGCACTGCTGAAGAGTCCCATACTAGGACGACACGGCCATCCAGTGCTTCCAGGTTTTCCATGGTGGTCTAGTTTCAATTGACTCATGGTTTCAATCTGCATAATATTATTTATTTGTACTCAGTTCTCGTTACTAAATATTCTTCAATGTAGTAATACTTATAGATTAGAAAAAAAGTAAACATATTTTATAACAGTTGAATAGTATATGTGATTCATCCTTAACCTAATCCATTTGACTCTTATCAAAAGTAAAGTTACCTACATAAATTATGACATAATAATTCTGTTTTTATCTCATTTCAGTACATTATTTTACATAAATGTAATATCATGTTTTCAGTGGTGGTGGTCTGATCAAGTTTAGTTTGTAATTGAAACTATGGAAATTACATATATTTCGAGGGTTTTATTCAAATTTTAAAAAAATATTTATTTTGTTTTCGACTCAAAATGTCTTTGGATTTGTGCATATTTGGATTTATTGTGAGATAAGAAGTTGATGATCAATTATTTTCTTTGGAATCCAAGATGATATCATCACAGTGTTGATCAGATCGTGTAGATCTAAGTTAGAAACAAATATCAAATTCATATTTATTTTTTCTTATTAAGATTATAAAAAACAATGTTAGAATATCTGTAGTTTATTGTGTGTGTGCGTGTGCGTGTGCGCGTTTGTTTGTTTGTATTTTTCTGTTAGAAACATTTATCTATATGAGATTATATTGTAACATTCCGTGTTTTCGATTAACTAAGTGAATAAGGAAAAAAACGATTATTGCTCGCAATAAATCTAATCAAAATGATTTGTATCCCATCGATTTTCATTCTTGTTTAGAATAAACCATACCAACATTGAACAGGGAATAATTTCCAAACTTTAGTCATAACGAAAATCATAATTTATTTGTGATAGCTATTACAATTTATAATTTGTATTTTTAATTGAATACTCTTTTCATATTTGAACATTGAATGGCGCAATTTGAATTTAGTTCCATAATTTAATTTTGATGAAATATTTGTGTGTTTTGTGCATATATAACTATGTACACATGTGTGTATGATGTAATTTATGATTTCATATTGTTTTCTTGTAATCTCATTAACACTTTTTCTTCTATATAAAAAATAATCGAAAATAACAGAACCAGTAACGGATTATTTGCTTTTTCTAGGTGATTTGTTTAATTTCCCTGTATTTTTACTTTTAATTTCAAGTTTAACTGTTATGATAGGTGGTTTCCGATATCTGATATTGATACATGGTGTGCTACATGCTAACCTCTTAACTAACTACTTGACCGAGAAAGTGTATTTGGCTACCGAATAAAATGCACAAATACTCATATATACATATATACATACGACTCTATTCTTAGGAAATTAACCGATTTCTTAGTCAATCAAATGCACTTGTCCTTCACGTCACTCCTGATACTCATCGATTGACCTTCTCACTATGCTACTTCTCATTGGCTTTCACAAACTGTAGATATTATTTGAAAAGAACTAGTGAAAATTTACGAAAACTTGATTTTGATACCCTGTTTTAGGTCGTAGATGTGCACTGCTGAAGTATTTCATACTATGAAAACTTTAGAATCAAGAAGTATATGTGACTAGCTTCACGGTGGATCACCGGAAATTGCAGATTGATGAACGTTGTAAAATATTAACTAATTCAATTCTAATGATGTGATTTAAATGATGCATCACGTATCACGATATTTTTAAATTGCGAATTTCTTGTGCAAACTTATGGTTGGGTACCATACAAGCGAGTTTCAAGATTTAAGATGTAAATGTCTTTCAGTCCTCTTTGTACCGAAGGTAGTCACCCAAGTATTTGATGTATCTTTTTAACGACGTTGATAATTAAATGGCGAGGTTAATAATCAATTCAACTGATGTAATAAAAGTAATCAACACTTAATTGTTACCTTAATGTCTGAAATTCAAATAAAAACGATTACATTCCAATCATAATTAATTCTAAGGAATTATTGTGTATTTCCAAACTATATTATCGTTTGATGAACGTAAAATAGCTATAGGAAAAAGAAGACAATTTAACTGATAACTAACTTCATATTTTTGAAAGATAAACTCTGTAGATTATAAGTTTCCTTCATAATAAATATAGTAAATTTCTAGAATGCAAATCTATTCATCTAAGCAAAGATAGATGGTGTCTAGCAATTGAATCCAGGACGCGTTTCGTCCTATTTGGAACTCGTCAGCTGGATGTACCTGCATTTCAGAGCTAATGTTCACTCCAGGCCTCGAACTCAATACCGTCAGCTTATAATACTTGTGACCTAAGGCAATATCGAGACGATCCGTACAGGATGCACATATGTCACTATGAGACTGATCAACTGCAGTTCTAAACATCAATGGGAAAATTAAAAAGAGTATTATTCATTTGAATTATTTGTTGTTAAAAACAACATCCATTACTTGTTACTGTAAAATATTATCATGTTTCAAATGATTATCATTTTATAACTTCCTGATCGAGTTCATTCTAATGAATGAAGGGTGTATTGGTATAAATGACTATTTCTATTATGTTACTAACAATAATAGTAATAAAACCATTGAAAAATATCTTGATTTCTTTTAATTTAAGATTAAAACTTCCTTTCCTTCATTCACTTATTGTCATTTCTTATTTATCGTGTTATTCTATTGAATACTTTCAATTTCAGATAAGTAATGTTTCATTAGATCCTCGAAAAATAATGGAACGTAATACTAATCTTCAAAAGATTTTAAAAATATTAGCTTTAATTATTTTGGTGATCAGTTTTATTGGACTAATAATTATCATTGTTTTGTATATTATAAGTCATAACATTCCAGATGTGGTAAGTATTGTTGTTTTAATATTGTAAAATACTTTTTTTTTCAGAATTTTTATTCAATGTTTGGCGAGACTATAATTTATGGGCGAACCAATCAGATATAAAATAACGAGTCAGGAATTTGGGCGCGAAATTCATCCATACATTTGACTAAATAAAGTTTTGACATCATAGCTGATGTCAGTTCGTGATGAAAAACTTAAATCTAATTTTTAACCCTAACCATCAACTGTAAATGAGAATTCTAGCTGCTTTCTAACCCTCATTTCGTCTCAATTAGTAGGTGTCCACTCTCAAGGTGACTTCAGTGTCCCTCAAAGATCGTCCATAAATTATAGTCTCACCGAATGTTTTATAACTTCATTTCATTTAAATTATTACTGTTTTATATTACTACAACTCTGTGTTAAACTGTGGATTGTTTATACTCAATACATTATTGAGGAATAATTGTGTGAAATCAGTTCACTATGCAAGTACCAGTCAGTTATATTTAACTTACATTCCTAGCAGACGTTTCCTGGAGTCTAATTTGCACACGACATTATCACAACAGAACAAAATTAACAAATATGAATGACAACGAAATTGAGAAAACGAGAGAGAATATTATTTAAGTTAAGGAAGAATTAAGTAGCATATATCAAGGAATACTGTTGCTTGAAATCTAGAAAACGACAAGAAGTGCATTTGTGTTTGATTCTGAGCTACGTCACCCAACGTCTACAATCTCTTATCATAGTTATCACAATGACCTCAACGAGATATTCTGTTATTGAAATCGAAATAAATGGAACGGAGAGTTCAAACCTCTGATAAAATGGTTCATTATATTTTTTATAAGGTTGGATTATCTTATCGATTGCATTTTTTTCTCCATTCATCTTTGTTTATATAATATTCTGTTTATTATCTTATAGTATTCAGTAGTGATTGATGCAGGATCAACTTCTTCAAAACTTCATTTATATAAATGGATCGATGAACCATTTCGATCAAATGGAAAAGTTGATGAAGTAACTAATGAAAAAGTTTGTAAGTGATTTATTCTATCATAGTCGAAATTTAATTTAGTTAACCTTTTTGAAAAAGCAATGTTTCTATTTACTTTCACTGATAATCATCTGATTAATTATTAGAAATCAGACCAGACTGTTGGTAAACGTTTATATGACAACAGTTATTGTTACCTAAATTGATTGATTTCATTGTATTTTTGGTGGTTGAAGATTTCACTCGTGTAGACTCGACCATATTTTACAAATTAAATATGCAAAATTTTAGTAGCTGTTCATTTGACTCCAATTAGATCGTATGATCATGTTATCGAAATATATATCCCAGCTATCCTCGTATATAATTATCGACTTTTACCGCGTTAGTGAATAACAGAATTAAATAAGTCAAATACGAGAATAAAGTTTGAATATGTATATTTCGTACACTCATTGATCTGGGCAAGACAATCAAGAAAACGAAGAGGATAAAGTGAAGCGAAACATACTTAGAGGAGAAGACGAGTGAAACAACTCGATTTTATTAAGCGTGAAAAAAAAATAAATTACAGACACACGATGAATAGGGCAAGCAACTAAAATACATACGCTTACATCAAAACAGTCAAGGTTGATAAACAAATAAGTGACAGGGCAAAAATGTTGCTTGAGAAGAATGAATAAATTGGTCTGTCCGAAGGCCAGAATACCCCATATGGGCTTGACATAGTACCTGCCACTACAAAATATAAACAGAATATCACTAGTAATTTGTAAAATAAATTTTCCTATGATTATTATCTATTGTGAAAACTTATTACAGAATGAACTGGAATCTGAGATACTGCAACCTGACAAAAAAGATGTTTGACATACTACACTACGTATAGAGACTTTGAATGGTTGATAAACTTATCTAGATTCGTTGTGATCTATTGTTGTTAAAAACTTAACAAACTGTTTACTGTATAAATATTCATCCCAATGTCTCTATAACAGTAAGTATAAGAGAGTCTTTATTTGCTCATACACATTTCGTGAATCCGTTTCATTTTCCCTTAACACTGAAATGATTAACCGTACATTCTTCTTTAATTTAATGTCATTGATATGCTACCATCACTGTTGTCGTATTAACTCGATGAAACATGTATATCATACTTAGTAAAAAACGAAAAACTTGTTCCTGTTAAGTTTTCCACTTCAATATTGCTTACGACTATCATTATAAAACAGCATACTCACTCTCTAGATAATCTTTAAATACGATCCTTCATCGGAATAGCTTATAATGTTGTTAATCGTTTAATTATTAGTAATTACTTAAAGTTTGAATTGACTCCATTATCACTAAATTTAATTTCCCTTTTGAAAATTTGCTATCAAGGATTATAGAACGTAAAGAAATCATAAAACTGTCTGTAGTTTAGTGTGTATGATTGTATTTTGTTTTGTCGATTAATTGTTGCCCTAATGACCTTGGAAAGATGATTATGTGAACACAGAGTTATTCAATTTAAAATACATAAGCGTTAAGTACTATAAAACTGAAGTAACTTTATTTTCAATGTATCTTTGCTTCAAGTAAATCTTGGTCATTGATACGAAACTTTCGATTATTTGATCGTTTAAGTGTTGATTAGGATATGGATTCATCCTTCGTTCGCTGAAAATGCGTTTTTATTTTGAGTATAAACATCAGAGGTTTGTGCTGATGGCTATTTTTAAACGGCGATGCAAGCATTATAACTGAACGACTCATCTGGGATAACGCATTTTCAGCAAAATCATCCACTGGTCACGGCTTTTCAAGAGAACTCCAGGAGTTACATTATTATAAAGTCAATTGGTACGCAACTCCTCTACATAACAAAAGCCATCAGGAACCACTCCAAAAGACCTAATTTATGTATCTAAAAGATGTTTGTTCAAGCTCCATATTTATCTTGCACCACTATCGGACCACCACATATTTAAACCTTATGTTGTAATGCCTTACCCTTGATTCCCTTCATGTTCGTATCTTACTTACTTACGCCTGTTACTCCCAATGGAGCATAGGTCGCCGACCAGCATTCTCCAACCCACTCTGTCCTGGGCCTTCTTTTCTAGTTCCATCCAATTCTTGTTCATTTCTCTCATGTCTATTTCCATTTCGCGGCGTAATGTGTTCTTTGGTCTTACTCTCCTCCTTTGGCCTTCAGGATTCCATGTGAGGGCTTGTCTTGTGACGCAGTTGGGTGTTTTCTTCAATGTGTGTCCTATCCACTTCCAGCGTTTCTTCCTGATTTCTTCCTCCGCTGGGATCTGGTTTGTTCTCTCCCACAGTACGTTGTTGTTAATAGTGTCCGGTCAACGGATCTGAAGTATTTTGCATGTTCGTATCTACCTTGTACCATTTTTAATTTACATAGTCATTTTTGTTCATTCAAGTGCGTTTCTCGCCACAATCGCTCTGGCAACAACTCTACATATTAAATTCACATGACTTTGTTATTATTATTATTATTATTACCCCCACTAATCAGACTAAATTTCTTCTACCATGCATTTCATTCACATGGTTTATTTTATTGTCATTACATCGATTGTAACTTAACACCTTACAGTGAATCATTCTAACCTTTCGTAAATGACCTTTCTAATTTACAAACGATATGATGCTATAGTATTTACACTGTATCAAATGCAAAAGCTCATCATTCATTCCTAACACAACACAACATTGTCTAATTCACCGATGTACTTTATTTTGACAGTTATGATACAATGACTATTGACTTGAAAACTGTCAAGCCTGATAATGATTTTGCTGAAAACAGTGTTTCACTTTAATTCACTTGATATTGTTTTACTTGAATCTTCCCATTGATGTTTAAGACTGCAATTGATCATTCTCTTATTGGCATATGTGCATACTACGTGTATTACCTCAATATTGTTTCACTTTGTCTTTAAAGAACATAAACGTCTTCTACCATTGATTAATCTCATTATTTCAATAGTTGAGATCATGAGTCAATTGAAGCTAGACCACCATGGAAAACCTGGAAGCACTGGACGGCCGTTTCGTCCTATTGTGGAAGTCCTCGGTAGTGCGCATCCACAACCCATCAGTCTCGCTCCAGGCACTTAACCGACTAGGCCACTGAGCCGGCATCCAACGGTGTTATTGTCTAACTCCAACTAATCCACGAAATTGAGCGACGCACACTGTTGAGGAGTCCCACAATAGGACGAAACGGCCGTCAAGTGCTTCCAGGTTTTCCATGGTAGTCTAGCTTCAATTGACTCATAATCTCAACTTTTGCAATTACTACAATCTCCACAAAACCCCTTCTGATACTAATCTCACTATTCTTAATATTCCATAATCTCATTATATTTTTACATGCAACGTTAAATTACATTTAATTATGTAGGCTTCATGAATGCTTGTTATTTTTGGTGGGAGGTCTGTCCAAACTTTTCGGCCAGCTATTTCTCAACTTTTCAAATATTATAATAAACTTTCATGTATTAGATTTGTCAGTGTAGGGTTGTGAAAATTGTTGAATCTTATTGAAATTATGAATTAATCTAAGTTAGATAAATATTGGTAACCTGGAGGCACTGCATGGCTGTTCCGTCCTAGTATTGGACTCGTCAGCAGTGTAAATCTACGACCCCGCAATCGGTAATCGGACCATGATCTTCGGACTAGAATGAGAATACTTAATATCTAGACCACTGGACTGAGACCCAACGGCATACATGTCTAACTGCAATCGATCGGTCATATTGCGTGGCCATCTCCCATCGCCTTCGGTGAGTAACTATCTCATACTTGACAGAGTTGTACTTCTCTGGTCATTGCTTCTCACAAGATTTGTTCGAATTGTGTAATTATGAATACTAACTCTATATACCCAAATGCAGTATTATGAAAAATTAACAGTATATCATTATGCTAGGTACTGGAAATTTCAAACGGAATTTCTGAACTTGACATATTTTCTTCCTCGTTTCCTCTTTTAAAAAAGAAACGAACACAATGAAATCGATGCATTTAATATTTTATAAATGAGAAATGTAGCTATTCAAACTAAACGGAAAGCATTTAGTGGAACCCTTCATTTTGACGTCAGTTAGAGAGGACTATGTTATCGACGGGCTCGTCACTTTAGTGGTTCGGGATCTGACTCCAGTTATATGGTTAACATTAACTGCACGGCCATTTCTTTACTTTTTTTCGAGTGAAATGTCTGATCGTTATTGATAATATATATCGTCAATCCTCGTATATATAATTATCGACCTAGATCACGTTAGTGAATAACGAAATTAAATAGGTCAAATACGGGAATGGATGTTTGAATACGTATATTTTGTACACTAGTTGATCGGAACAGACAATCAGAGAGACGTAGCGAAGATGAGAGAGGTAAGCGAAACAAAAGGACGCATAGTGGAGAAAGCGTGTGAGCCAACTACATTTAATCAAGCGTTAATTGATGTTTATAGTCACACAAAAATAAGCTACAAACATGTGATGAGTAGGATAAGATCTACATACACATACGCTCATATAAAGACGGTCAAGGTTAATAAGTGAGTAATTAACAAGGTCAAAATGCGACTCAAAAAGAATGGCCTGTCCAGAACCTAGAATAGTTATATGGGCTTAACATAGTGACCGACACTACAGACATGCCCACTCTGCTGAAAAGGAGTGGAAGCTATTGGTTATTAAGAAAATCATTTGTAGAATGTAATTTTTGAATAATTATGATGTAAATGTATGCTAACGAGAACTGTTTCCCAACACTGAACAACTGACGCTAAGGATTCTTTACTGTACTGAAATTTACAGTAATGAATAAAGCTACTATCATTAAGTTAATTTGCCTTCTGCACTCGGTTAAAAGTCTTTGAATCATTGGTCATGCAGGACTTCAGTTAACCCTTCAGACATTAAGTTTTAATTCTTTATATCATTGTACATATGGTGTTGTATCACTTTAAAAGTGTATGGTAAAACTTATGATCCAAAATATTTTGAATTTTATCGTATTTAACCAATAAATTTGATCAAAGCTATTCAATATTATTGCGTAAAATAATGTTCCAAAATCAATGGAGCATAGATAATCAAGATGGATGTTGTTTGCTTATTTAAACAATGTCTAAAATAAAATTAGTTCGTTTTATAATGCCAGAAGGTATGTCTGTATTCCGGTATGATAGAAATACTAAGTAGATTTCTGTCGTGTATCATTAAATATTCATTAGCGTGTCTCAGGTATCTATGACTACTAGACTGTCATCCAGTTAAATGGATGTCACAGCTAAAAACTGCACCCTTTCTCCTATACAAGAGTAGTGGCCGCACATTTAGTGTATATTTGTTGATAGTATTATCCATCTAATTATCCATTGTAATAAAGTGCATCAGTTGTTTAAAACTGAAATTTACTCAAAGCAATATACAGTACACTTTTAAACATTATTCTACTGAAATTTTTTGGAATGGCAAAATTTTTTACTACTATAAATCAACTTGTTGAGTTGTCATATCTGTTATATTCTAACGAAGAATAAATGAATGGTAACTGATAGGAATCATTTATGGACGATTATTACATATATTCTTATTGGATAATTACTAAGTTACCAGAATATTTATTTTCGTATTCCTTTCATTTGACCAATTTGTTGTTGAGATACGATTTGCCATTCTTAACTTATTCCGATTTGTTAGTCACAGTCTCTCACACTCACAGCCACTTTTGGCTTGATCTTGTATTATTTTCAATTTTACGGTGTGATGCGGTCTGGCTTGCTTGTACATAGACTGCGTGTGTATGAAATGTACGATTCATACAGTGGAATCTGAGATTGTGTTCTGAATTAAACGGGCAGGATAAGGCAAGAATAACCAATGAGAACTCTAAGTCGACTCTAGGCTGCTCGTTCTGGTTAACGCATAGGGTCAAGGTCGTATAAATCGGATCCTGATTCGCGATCTTGTCGGGTGATAATTGACGGGGCAAAAGATATAACAATATTGTTCAACTTCTTCATCTACTGCTGGCTGAAAGTAATTTAATCTATTTCGATCATTAAACGGAATATCATTAAAAACTTCTTCTTGGTCGACAGATTTTCCCTATCATCTCACTGAAACGAATGTCACTTATGGAGCTGAATGATTCTTTACACTGGATCACACATTAACTGAAGGTTCTAATTTGAATCACCTTACCTAAACTTATTGGTCTTGATATATCTACTAGATTGAACGCCAGATTCGGCTCCTAAACTCTGTTAGTAACCGTGAAACACAATGACGACGACCCTAGTCAAAAATACACTCACCCATTTTGATTAATAATTAGAATAAAATCACATATATGAAAAATACTTAGTTATAACAAATCATATGCTTCATGTTAACTTAATACAAGAATATCGTATGTAATACAGAATAAAATGTCATATGGGGAAACAAAACAAATACTACACTGAATAATCATTACATTGAATCAAAATGGAAGTAATGTTGACTAAAAATCATAAAGAGTAAATCAATCGAATTTTGACATTTCCCGTCATTTTAGATTTACATTTATCATGATCAACATACGATCCAAAAATCTTTGATACAACTCCTCATAGAGGAAGAGGATTGTGATTTTGTACTGCTAATTAACTACCTCGATATTAAAATGAATAATTTCTTCTACAGTGTCTAGTTTTCAATGACCTGCCAATGATAAATATAAATTTAGTACACATATTTCCCTTTATTGTTTTGAAAAGAACAAGAACACAAATTCTAGTAGAATAACATGAATTCATTTTATTTCGTTGGCTCTCGTCAACAGCTACATTGGCCGAATAGAAAGGAGAGCATATCTTAGATTTTTTGAACATGTTCCAAAATGCTTTAGAACAAGAGGAAAAATGACTAAACAATGCAATTACCAAACATCAGATCGATAACTTGCAATCTCTCAAGGTGATTAGTAAGCAACCAAACTCCAATCTTCTAAGGTTTGCTAAAGCCGTTACTATCAAGCGTCAAAAACCTGATTCATGTGTTCAAAAGGAGATGGTTATTAACCTTTCCTTGCCTTGGTGACAAATATTCCTCCGTTGAATCTTAAACATTTTTTTTAAAAACTCTTCTTGTATTTATTACATCATTGAGTTTTTATTTTAATTATCATCCAGACTACACATTTTATTCCTATCAGCGTTTACTCATTATGTAATCACTTGTTTCTAGCCGTTTGAACTGTTGTCACAATCAGTGTTGTAGAATTTTGTTTTACGTAAGGTATATATTTACAATATTCAGTCTATTTTATTTATTTACACCCTCACTATACTAATATATCTTCAATATAACTTCCGACTAAATACTTTCAGGTAAGTCATTTAAACCCATTTTGCAATTATGATTTTTTGAATATTACAGGTTTTAATCAGTTGACGAGAGCCAACGAAATAAAATGAATCCATGTTATTCTACTAGAATCTGTGTTCTTGCTCTTTTCAAAATAATAGAGGGAACTATGTGTGTAAAACTTATATTCATTGTGGACAGGTCATTGAAAACTAGATACCATAAGAGAAACTTTAAACTGAAGACAAATTTATTTAATATCATAATGAGAACTTTTTTTTTCCTTTCTAATCGTTATCATCCAGCTCCTGGCATATCAGCTTATATTAATGAACCAATTAAAGCTTATGAAATATTAAAACCGAAACTTGTTAAATTAACGAGTAAATTAACAATTGAACAAAAAAAGCGTACACCAATTTATTTGGCTGCGACTGCTGGTATGCGATTAAAATTGTAAGTTTTCAATGAACTAATTCATTTATATCATATGTGTTTCAATGTATATGAATAAATTTTTGTTTAACTAGTTATTATATGATTTAAACTAAATTCAATTATCAGTTAATTTATCGAAAATTGAAATCTGATTTTTAAATTATACAGAAGTTTTCGATATCTAAATAATCTTATTAGCTATTATGTAATAGTAAGTTTACATGAAAGTCAGATGAGTAAAACTTAACTTGATTAGTAGATTTCATTTGTTTTTTTAGAGTGTGATATCAAATTACAGGTACAACTGTTTGAGAACAGGAAAAAATTTGTATATTAAAAATCAAAGAACATTTTGTCTAGACTGAAGAAGTCGATTTGAACATCTGTGATCTTACTCTATTGACATAAAAATAGTCATCATCATAATAATAAGCAACGAAAGACTTCACTGAGTAACACAGATAAATAATAAGAAACACCTCATCCACTTCCTACCATTCTCTATTCTATGTCTTTTTAAGTCAAATATTGGAAGAGGACAATATACTGTAAAAGTTGTCAACTAAACAGTTGAATTCATTAGTCAATCTAGGCTAGAACACTATTAAAAAACTGGAAGCACCGGACTGTCATTTCGTCCTAATATATATATATATACATTGATTACTGACTAGTGGTCAATGTCACATTTGTGTTGTAGTTTAGCGCTGATCAGATTCTATCGATCAAGTTGTAATGTAACTACCGGTTTAACTAACTTAACGTTGCACAATATCTTAATTTAAGATCGATGGAGGTGGTTGTTATAAAACCCAGGTCTTTGGTTTAACACTAGCTGGCACACGTTATCAGGACGTACATGCAATTTTGATGAGACACATGCTCTCAGTTACTTTTAGTTATTTTATGGTCAGTGATTTTAAATACACAGATCCCCATTTACAGATCAAATTAATCTAACCTTACCTATTAGTGGTAACTAAGTGAGAACTAGATGATTTTAACAGAAATCTAATTTTCTAAAAAAAAACTATTCACCTGATACTCATTTTAATGCGAAAAATAATATTTTGATGACTAGTAGTAAAAATCCCTGGATATAGATTTTATGTTGATTGCTACCCATCAGTGGGATGAATTCGCGATCTTGCAAAAATCGATGCACCCATTTAAGCAGTGACTCAGCTCTGTGACATGGATTCGAATCCTGCGAAAATTGCCAATAATAATGCCCAGAAAACACCTTAATTAGCATCAATCGATTGATTAGTGTAATTCTCAAGTATTTACTACTTTTTTGATTAGGTTTATAATCCTTTTTTAAGTGAGGCTGTAAAAAGCTAGTGAAAGACTGTAATGGCGATGTGCAATCTAAATACTTTATCACTATACATCAGTTATGTCAGTCAGCTACAACGTAGGACCAGGCACATATGTACATCCGTCCAAGTTGCCATACCGCATTAGCATAACAAGATGAATAACGAATTCATAGAGGTAGTAATTCAATAGTGGTAACATATAAAAGAAAGATTGCATATAAGGATATAGTACAGGAAGAAAGAATTAGTTGGTAGAAAGAAAGATATGAAGCAATTTTAATCTCTTAGTTTAAGGGAAGACAGACAGTGTATACACTGACGACATTGTGATAGATTCTGAGCAATGTTACCCAGAGTCTCCAACCATTGGTTACGATAGTCACGCGGACCCCAACCAAGTAGTCTACATCTACTAACATGGCTCAGACTAGAAGTTAGTGACTTCAAGCACTGATGCCATGTTTTGGTTTGGCCACCCCTAACTTTCTTCCAACCATCACCAACACTAGACAGCATTGCGTGTCGTGTTAATCGGTGTTCAGGCATACGTAACACGTGGCCCAACCATCTCAGTCGATGAAGATTCACAACCTCATCAACTGATTTACCATCGTTCCCTAATACTATGCGTCGAACCTCACTATTACTTACCCGGTGATCCCAACAGATGCAAGCAATATTTCTAAGGCATCTGTGGTCAAATACTAGTAGCTTACGAGTATATTCTACTCTTAATTGCCAGTTATGTATTAAAGTTATGAATAGAGAAGACTATTTGTCTCTGATTACTTGATTACAAGTAACAAAAAACATACAATTAATTTTTGAACTATATCCTATCCAATTGACAACAGTAGTTTCTTTGTTTAAAAATAACTATTTCCTATTTCTATTTTTAAATATTACAAATAAAATGCGAGAAATTGTGAATTTACGGAAAAAATATATTAAATTATCGTACAATAAATTGTCACATTTTCCACACACACACACACACACACACACGCAAAACAAATACTTTGTTTTAATCAAAAACTATGATATCCCACTAGGTAAGAAATTGAATTTCAGGCATTTTTTCGATCTAGTATAAGTCTCTTCAATAGAGGATAATTAAATAACCGCTTTCAATTAACATTAACGTTTAAATAGGACAAGGAAACTAATTAGAATATTTAGTGCAATCAAAAACAAATCTGATCATGTTATTGTCATATAATTCCGGTCAAGGTGATTTGTATGTGAAACATGTCTGTGTATATGTATGTATATTAATGGATGTGAAGAAAATGTGATATTTGCAATGGGACAGAGTAGCATAGTGAATTCACAAAGACTTTTCCAACTTAAAAGAAAGGTTAGTAGCCTTCAAATTATTGTTAACTCCCACTAGGTTGACATAGAAAAGAATGCCTATTTGAAATATTTATCCAAACAATCATGTTTAATCTTATTTAACACCTTATACAATTAACGATCATACAAATTTAACTCAACTCTATCACATTGCAAATATCACATATCATATCCACTAATATACACACAAATACACAGACATGTTTCACTAACAAGTCACCTTGACCGGAATGATATGACAGTGACTTGATCAGATTTGTTTTTGATTTCACTAAATATTCTACTTTGTTTCTTTGTACTATTTAAGTATGTGTCAATTGAAGGCAGTTATTTATTTAACCTCTATTGAAGAGACTTACACTAGTACAAAAAGTGATTGAAATTCAATTTCCTATCCACTGGGGTATCAGAAATTTATGATGATTTTTCATTATATTTTTTTATATTTTAATAGTTAGAATCACGAGTCGGTCTAAGCTAGACCACCAGTAAATACCTGGAAGCACTGGACGTCCGTTTGGTCCTAATATGAGATTCCTCAACAGTGCGCTTCGACGACCCCACACTTGGAACTCGAACCCAAGACCTTCAGTTTCGCACGCGAACGCTTAGGACGAAACGGCCGTCCAATGTTTTCAGATTTTCAATGGTGGTCTAGGTTAAACCGACTCATGAATTCAACTATTAAAATTGCTACGATCCCCACCAATCCCCACTCTGATATGATTATATTACTTGATTGATTTCGATGCAAAATCACTTGAAATGGATGTTTAAAGGGACTTATAAGATTTGATTTGACACCCATTATTATTATTATCAATGGCTTAATTCAATATTATATTTTGGTACAACACAGAATACTCAAAATGTGGTATTTCAACAAGTTTCTTTTACAAAAACAAATTAGTAACATTGATGCAAGCGTTGCAAGTCTCTACAACTGAAAGAAAATCATTCTTCACGAATAGGTCCTAATTGTATTCACTCAATGTTTTCATCAAACATGTCGTTCCTGGAATCGTTTGTCAAATTGCCGACTGCATTTGATATTTTATTTTTTGAGCTAGACTTAAGCACTAATAATTAATTTTGTGTTCTAGTTCGAATTGTGTATTATTATTTCCCCGTAACATTCTACAACGCTAAAACTAGAAGAATGATTTACTCCACAACATAATTATACTTTATTTACTATGTGGTAATAGCAATTAACACGAATATAAACCTAAATATTCGCGACATATTAGTTACACTCCTCTTGACGGATGGAAGGATTTTAACCGGAAACTAAATATACATTGATTAGTGTAAGATAAATAGGTGTCTTGCAGTGGAATCCAGAACGCATACTTCGTCCTATTTGGGACTCGAACATAATGCCGTTCTCTTCGAATTCCATCACTTGAGCCACTTAGAGGATTCCAATTCTATCCATATTTCAGCTATTCTACACTCACTCGTGTCATAATACCCATATCGAGGCCCATATCCAACTAAGAATGATGAAATTTCAGTTAAAATTTCAACAACAGGATAATCCAACCCATTTCAAATTGAATAGATTGAACTCGTTTATAGCATATTACTAGATATTTAAGTTACTTATTTTAGTGAACATATTAAAACAACTTTATCCATGGTTTAGGAAATTTACACTTATGAATGAAGCACTTCATATTGATAATGGCCCAGTAATACATTCATGCTGATTTCCGACATTGCGAACTACTATTAACTTGAGCTTTTTGAATAGCTATTTAGATCGTGATACGGGATTTTTCAACTGTTATATTTGTCTGGAAATGAAAATAGGCTAGCACGAGATGACTTACCTAGTTAGGCGGTAGGGAGCGTGCATAGACTACGTACCTACACAGTGAATTAATGAAGCTATGTCAATGCTTGACCGCGTTTTCTTTCATCTAATTTAGTTTGTTGTACCCAACAAGGTTGACACTAAAATGTAAAAGTATTCTAGTGCTTAAAAGTCTTAGATTTCTACTGAAATGTTAATATTTCAAACCTGGTTTCAACTCCTTGAGTTTAATCGATTGGATACTATAATTGGGTTTTACACAGCAAGTTTGGCTGAAAATTGAGCGTACAGACATGCGCTTGATAAAAATAAGTGCAACCTATAACTATTAAATTTTCATTATCTTTTAAGTGAGCTATTTATTATAAACATTATTTATCAGTACGTGCCCAGAACAATATGTAAAACGGTTTTATCAACTTAACCTTATTCAATCCATAATATAGGATGAACTAACTTCTTCCTTTCCTATCATAATCAACTCGAACTAATATCACATTAGGATTAAAACTATTGTGAAA